ACACACACATATATATATATGAATATTCATACAATATGAAAAAATTTGTATTACAGAAATTATATACTCATAGGAATATATAATTTCACATAGTCATATTCATAAATTAATTATACATTATTTTATATATATCATACATATATCAAAAATAACTTGATAACTTTGAGATAGAGAAATATATATTTTTTTTAATGGAGTTTCACTCTGTCGCCCAGGCTGGAGTATAACAGCACAATCTCGGCTCATTGCAATCTCCACCACCCAGGTTCAAGCAATTCTCCTGCCTCAGTCTCCTGAGTAGCTGGGATTACAGGCATGCACCACCACACCTGGCTAATATTTGTATTTTCAGTAGCGACAGGGTTTCACCATTTTGGTCAAGCTGGTCTTGAACTTCTTACCTCAGATGATCCACCCACCTTGGCCTCCCAAAGTGCTGGGATTACAGGCATGAGACACTGCCCCTAGCCGAAAGATTTCCTTTAAAAGACACAATGGGCAGAAGTCATAAGGAAAAGTTGATAAATTTCATACACAAAAAGAAGCTTGAAGAGGAGGGGCCACAGTTGCTCACGACTGTAATCCCAAAACTTTGGAAGACTAAGGTGGGAGGATTGCTTGAGGCCTGGAGTTTGAGACCAGCCTGGGCAACATAAAAAGACCCTGTCTCTACCAAAAAGAAAAGAAAAATTAATAAATTGGACAGTAACAAAAGGCACCATTAGGAGAGGGAAAAGATTAACCACAAATAGAAGATGTATATAGCAAATACGACTGACAAAGAATTGGAATTCAGAATATATGAATAGCCGTGACTCAAAAGTATCTAATAGAAAAATAAGCAAAAGAAGTAAGTAGCAACAGCCCAGAAGAAAAAGATAAATGGACCATACATCTCATTAGTAATCAGCAGGGTCTCTCAATACTTGACAGATGTACACATTGTGCCCAAGCATTCACCACTATTATACTGAAGAGCCTGAATCAAACCCAGAATGTTAGGCTCCAGAGCTTGCTCTCAATCGTGATATCCAACTTCATTCTACAACTCAAGTCTTGAAATGTAATTTTTTAAGTGAAGTTAGTGATGCAAATTTCAAAAAAAGGAGCAAATTTTGGACTGGTCTGAAAACTCTGAGGCTGGGTGCAGTGGCTCATGCCTGTAGTACCAGCACTTTGGAAGGCCAAGACAGAGGGGACTGCTCGAGCCCAGGAATTCGATCCAACCAGGACAATACAGTGAGACCCAGTTTCTATAAAAAAATTAAAAATTAGTCAGCTATGGTGGCACACACCTGTAGTCCGAGCTACTCAGGAGGCTAAGTGGGGAGGATTGTTTGAGCTCAGGAGGTAAGAGGCTGCAGGAAGCCATCCACCACTGCACTCTAGCCTGGATGACAGAGCAAGAACCTGCCTCAAAAACAAATAAAAAGAAGAAGAAAACTCTGAGCCAAATGTTTGCTTTTATGGAGTAAAAGGGGGTAATTTTACAGCTAAATATTTGATTTGTAGTAAAAATACAATTACTACCTCAGAGTTAGTTGCACTGCATATTTCTGCTGAAGCATCCAAACTCATGTTCAGAGTTTTCTTTCATTCCAACTGTGTGTGTAGGCCACATGTGGTAGCTCATGCCTGCAATCCCAGCACTTTGGGAAGCCAATACAGAAGGATCACTTGAAACCAGAATCCAAGACCAGCCTGGACAACATAGTGAAAACTCATCTCTACAAAAATTAGCTGGTGTGGTGGCTCGCACTTGTGGTCCCAGCTACTCAAGAGCCTGGGGTGGGAGGATTGCTTGAGCCCAGAAAGTCGAGGATGCAGGAAGCTGTGATGGTGTCACTGCACTCCAGCCTCGATGACAAGAGTGAGATCCTGTCTAAAAAGACAAAAAGAAAAATTTTTTATCTGTGAGATAGAAACAGTACCAGTTGTTCTATTTGACAGGTAGAAAATAGAAGCAATTGGCAGCAAACCCCAAGACAGCATAAACTAAATTGATAACACCAGCTAGGTGAGGTGGCTCATGTCTGTAATCCTAGCACTTTGGGAGACCAAGGCGGGCAGATCACCTGAAGTCAGGAGGCTAAGACACAAGAATCACTTAAACTCGGGAGGCAGAGGTTGCAGTGAACTGAGATCACACCACTGCACTCCAGTCTGGGCAACAGAGTGAGACTCGGTCTCAATCAATCAATCAATCAATACCACTACCAACAGTTAATTATGAGAGTCTCTTAGAAGCACCATAGTATTAGGAGATTAAAGTCCATTCATAAAAGTGCTAATGCTGGATGTTGTAGTTATCCCTTGAAACCATGAACACCATCTTTTCTGGATACTCTATAGCATTGGTTTTTCATGTGTTTGTTTGCTTGCTTATTTATTTGAGACAGGGTCTCCCTCTTGTCACCCAGGCTGGAGTTCAGTGGCATGATCACGGATCACTGCAGCCTCCACCTCACAGACTCAAGTAATCCTTCTACCTCAGTCTCCCAGAGAGCTGGGACTACAGGCCCATGCAACCATGCCCAGATAACTTTTTGGTTTTTTTGTTTGTTTGTTTTGTAGAGATGGGGTTTTACCATGTTGCCTAGACTGGGCTCAAACTCCTGGGCTCAAGCAATCCTCCTGCCTTGGCTTCCCAAAGTGCAGGGATTACAAGTGTGAGCCAAAATGCCCAGACTTCGTGAGTTTAGTTGCTCAATGACAGCCTTGCAGTATGGCCAGCATGTTGCTGATGCAGCTCTGCCCATCTGTGGTAAATGGTTGAACTCTTACTTGAAGCAGCAGAGGTTCTGTACTCATTCATTCATTCATTCATTCCCCTACATTTGGACCTCATCTACTAAGTGACATTTATAAATCACTGAAGATACTTAGAGCTTATTTGAAGATGCTTATTTGCACACAAATCACTAGAGGTGGCAGCATAGCAAAACAGAAAGTGTACTGACCAGGGATTAAAAACCCACTGGTGATGAGAACTAGCTCTGCCAACATCCAGGTTCTTTTCTGGAACAAGTAACTTCATCTCTTTGCATCTCAGCTTTCTTACCTGTTAGTGAGAATGACCCAAGGTAGATCAAACAGCATGAAAAGGCAGAGAATCAGAAAACCTTGAGAAGAGACAAAACTGGGGATGCATTCTAGTTAGACCAGCCCAGATTCTTAAAGCTAGCTACCCATTGGCGGGGCACAGTGGCTCAAGCCTGTAATCCCAGCACTTTGGGAGGCTGAGGCAGGTGGATCATGAGGTCAAGAGATCGAGACCATCCTGGTCAACATGGTGAAACCCTGTCTCTACTAAAAATACAAAAAATTAGCTGGGCATGGTGGCACATGCCTGTAATCCCAGCTACTCGGGAGGCTGAGGCAGGAGAATTGCCTGAACCCAGGAGGCGGAGGTTGCGGTGAGCCAAGGTCGCGCCATTGCACTCCAGCCTGGGTAACAAGAGCGAAACTCCGTCTAAAAAAAAAAAAAAAAAGCTAGCTACCCATTAGGATCACCTGAGGAAATTTTTTAGTTACTCCACATTTGAGATTCTATTCATTTGTCTGGGATAGGGCTTAAGTATTAGTATTCCAATACAATGATTTTCCAACTTTAGCAAGCCTCAGAGTCACCGGAAGAGCTTGTTAAAACACAGATAGGTCAGGCACAGTGGCTCACTGCCTGTAATCACAGTGCTTTTGGAGGCCGAGATGAAAGGATCGTTTGAGGCCAGGAGTTTGAGACCAGTCTGGGCAACAAAATGAGGCCTTGTCTCTACAAAATATTTTTAAATTAGCTGGATGTAGTTGTGCCCCTATAATACTAACTAAGGCAGGAGGGTTACTTGAGCCCAGGAGTTTGAGGCTGCAGTGGTCTTTGATCATATCACTGCAGTCTAGCCTGGGAAACAGAGAGTCCCTGTCTCAAAAACAAACAAACAAAAATCCACATAGATAGTTGGGCCCCACCCCCAGAGTTTCTGATTCAATAGGTCTGGGGCACTCCAAAGAATTGCAGGTCTAGCAAGTTCCCAGGTGATGCTGAGGTGCTGATGTTGGAGATCTACTCACCTGGAGAACCACTCTAAGTGTGTGCAGAAAGGATTAGTTGAAAATGCCAGAGGCCAAGCATGGTGGCTCACACGTGTAATCCCATCATTTTGAGAAGCTGAGGTGGGAGGACAGTTTGAAGCCAGGAGTAGTTAACCAGACCAGCTGCAGCAACATAGCAAGACCCTGTGGAAGAATTTAGCTGGGTGTGGTGGCACAGTTCTGTAGTCCTAGCTTCATGAGACACTGAAATGGGAGGATGGCCACAGCCCAGGAAATGGAGGCTGCAGTCAGTTATGATCATCCCACTGCACTCCAGCCGGGATAACAAAGCAAGACCCTGTTTCTGAAAAAGGAAGGGAAAGGAGGAAGGAGAAGGGAAAAGTGGGGAAGGGGAAGGGGTGAGGGGAGGGAAAGGAAAGAAAGAACCTAAAAGAAGACAGAAAAGGGAAGAAAACGGGAAAAAAAGAAAAGAAAAGAAAAGGTGGGTGTGGTGGCTCATGCCTGTAATCCCAGCAGGGGGAGTAGATCACCTAAGGTCAGGAGTTTGAGACCAGTCTGGCCAATAAGGCGAAACCCCGTCTCTACTAAAAATACAAAAATTAGCCCCTTCTTTCCCGCAGTTAGTGCTGAGAGTGCAGAGTGTGTGCTCTGGGCTCAGAAAACACATTTATTATTTTAAAAATCCAAAAACCGACTTAAAAAAAAATCTTTTCAAACCTCCCCCAGCCAAAGAAATTTTGCAAAACTCCGCGTCTCCTAGGCCAGAGACTTTTTTCCTTTCCTCTTTTATAAAATAACCCGGTAAAGGAACTGAGGCCGACCCGTCTGCCCGCGACCCCGAAGCAGCTCCAAGAGGTAAGTCAAGAGACCGAGTCCTTCCCTCCCAATACCTGGACCCAACACCACCATCCTCGCTCCCCGCCCGGAGCTGGAAGCCGGAAGCTGTAAACCGGAAGCTATAAACCGGAAGCCGGGAGCCGGGAACCGGGAGCCGGGAGCCGGGAGCCAGCAGTAGCGGATCAACTCAGTTCTGTGGCAGTTGAGTAGCCTTCGATTCCGGGTTATTTTTGTCCCTCTGCGCTTGCACTTGCCACAACTTCACTCCTCACTGATTCCAGCCCTGGTACTCGCTGTCCTCCTCTCACCGGAAGGTCGTGGCCTGTGGCCCTGCAGCCAACCGTGTGGAGTTAACTCCAGCGCCCTCCACTACCCCATGGCCTCGCTCTACGTGGGAGGCCTCCACCCCGAGGTGACTGAGGCAATGCTCTACGAGAAGTTCAGCCCCGCAGGGCCCATCCTCTCCATCCAGGTCTGCAGGGACATGATCACTTGCCACTCCTTGGGCTACGCATATGTGAACTTCCAGCAGCCGGCGGACGCTGAGCGTGCTGTGAACAACATGAATTTTGGTGTTATAAAGGGTAAGCCAGTACATATCCTGTGGTCTCAGCATGATCCATCACTTCGAAAAAGTGGAGAGGGCTACATAGTCATTAAAAATCTGGACAGATCCATTGATAACAAAGCACTGTATGATACATTTTCTGCTTTTGGTAACATCCTTTCATGTAAGGTGGTTTGTGATGAAAATGGTTCCAAGGGCTATGGATTTGTACACTTTGAGGCACAGGAAGCAGCTGAAAGAGCCATTGAAAAAATGAATGGAATCCTAGTAAATGATCGCAAAGTATATATTGGAAGACTTAAGTCTCGTAAAGAAAGAGAATCTGAACTTGGAGCTATGGCAAAAGAGTTCACCAATGTTTACATCAAGAATTTTGGAGAAGACATGGATGATGAGCGCCTTAAGGATCTCTTTGGCAAGTTTGGGCTTCCCTTAAGTGTGAAAGTAATGACTGATGAAAGTGGAAAATCCAAAGGATTTGGATTTGTAAGCTTTGAAAGGCATGAGGATGCACAGAAAGCTGTGGATGAGATGAATGGAAAGGACCTTGACGGAAAACAAATTTACGTTGGTCGAGCTCAGAAAAAAGTGGAACGGCAGATGGAACTGAAGTGCAAATTTGAACAGATGAAGCAAGATAAGATCACCAGATACCACGGTGTTAATCTTTATGTGGAAAATCTTGATGATGGTATTGATGATGAACGTCTCCAGAAAGAGTTTTCTTCATTTGGTACAATCACTAGTGCAAAGGTTATGATGGAGAATGGTCTCAGCAAAGGGGTTGGTTTTGTTTGTTTCTCCTCACCAGAAGAAGCCGCTAAAGCAGTTACAGAAATGAACGGTAGAATTGTGGCCACAAAGCCATTGTATGTAACTTTAGCTCAGCGCAAAGGATTGCGCCAGGCTCACCTCACTAACCAGTATATGCAGAGAATGGCAAGTGTACGAGCTGTGCCCAACCCTGTAATCAACCCCTACCAGCCAGCACCACCTTCAGGTTACTGCATGACAGCTATCCCACAGACTCAGAACAGTGCTGCATACTCTCTTCCTAGCCAAATTGCTCAACTAAGACCAAGTCCACACTGGACTGCTCAGGGTGCCAGACTTCATCCATTCCAAAATATGCCAGGTGCTATCGGCCCAGCTGCTTCTAGACCGCCATTTAGTACTGTGAGACCAGCTTCTTCACAGGTTCCACGAGTCATGTCAACACAGTATATTGTTAACACATCAACACAAACAATGGGTTCACATCCTGCAGCTGAAGCTGCTGCAGCTGCTCCTGGAGTTTGCAATCCTCAGCAACATCTTCATGCACAGCTACGGTTTACAATGCAGCAGCCTGCTGTTGATGTAAAGGTCAGGAACCTTTGATTGCTTCCATGTTGGCATTTGCCCCTCCTCAAGAGCAAAAGCAAATGTTAGGTGAATGCCTGTTTCCTCTTATTCAAGCCATACACCCTGCTCTTGCTGGTAAAATCACTGGCATGTTGTCAGAGATTGATATTCAGAACTTCTTTCTATGTTCGAGTCTCCAGAGTTACTGTTCTAAGGTTGATTAACCTCTAGCTGTGCTACGAGCCCACCAAGCTAAAGAGGCTGCCCAGAACGCAGTTAACAGTGCCACCGCTGTTACAACTGTCTAAAATTGATCAGGGACCACGAAAAGAAACTTGTGCTTCACTGAAGAAAAATATCTAAACATTGAAAAATATAAATATTATGGAAAAAATTGCAAATAAATAAAGGAAAGGAAACTTTGAACCTTATGTACCGAGTATATGTCAGGTCTAACAAACATAATGCTAGTCCTAGATTACTTATTGATTTAAACACACACACATACACACACACACAAACACACACAAGTGAAATATAAAAACAAATTAATGTTTTATAGACCCGGGGAAAAGAATTTTCAGTAAAGTACTCAGTAAAGTACAAAAATTTAAAGCATTCTTTCCTTTAATTGTGTAATTCTTTACTGTGGAATAGCTCAAAATGTCATTTCTATTTTAAGTAACAATTGATAATTGAGCAAGGAAATGTAATTTGGATTATAAAATTCTTGCTGTAATAAAAATTCCTTAAACAGTGAAAAAATAATAAAAATACAAAAATTAGCTGGATGCAGTGCCGCACGCCTCTAATCCCAGCTATTCAGGAGACTGAGGCAAGAGAATCACTTGAACCCAGGAGGCAGAGGTTGCAGTGAGCTGAGATCATGTCACTGTACTCCAGCCCGGGTGACAGAGCAAGACTCCATCTCAAAAAAGAAGGAAAAAGAAAATGCCAGAAGGGTATTTGAGTGCTTATGCTTTCTGCTTTGCATTAAATGAGGAACATAATATCACCCTGAAATTTCACTCCATTTTTTTAACCATGTGCAGAGGATTTCGCTTTTAAAATACATGTGTTAAGGAACAGACAACAGATTGTCCTTTAGGTGGGAAGCTGACGAGTAAAGCAGACTTTTTCCCCCCACTGTATACGTTTGATACTGCATTAATTTGCATCATATGCATGCATCTTCTAATTAATTGTAAAGCCAACAAAACCTTCACTCAACTTAAGGAATAACAAAAGTAATACAAACAATTAGCTGGGCTGGCGCATGCCTGTAATCCCAGCTACTCAGGAGGCTGAGGCAGGAGAATTGCCTGAACCCAGGAGGCAGAGGTTGCGGTGAGCCGAGATCGCACCATTGCACCCCAGCCTAGGTAACAAGAGTGAAACTCCGTCTCAAAAAAAAAAAAGTAGTAGAGGGACCCTCTGACTTACATATGGCTATTATCTACCACATAGATTCTGTTATCCCAATATACCTTGCACTATAGCAAGGAATGCATGTGACCATTTGTAACCATTTCAGCAGTTACAAAAGATGACAAAAAGGGGAGAAAGGAGGAAAGGAAGGAAGGGAAAGCGGGAAGAATAGGAAAGGAAAATATAGGCTGGTATAATGAAGTTGGTGCCAGGCATGGTGGCTCACACCTGTAATCACAACACCTTGGGAGGTCACGGTGGGTGGATCACTTGATCCCAGGAATTCTGAGACCAGCCTGGGCAACATGGAGAAACCCCATCTCGATGAAAAATACAAAAAATAGCTGGGCATAGTGGTGCACGCCTGCAGTCCCAGGTACTCAGGAGGCTGAGGTGGGAGGATCACTTGAACCCAAGAGGTTAAGGCGGCAGTGAGTCGTGATTGCGCCACCATACTCCAGCCTTTTGAAACAGCGAGAGCTTGTCTCAAAAATAGTGGCTCACACCTGTAATCCCAGCACTTCAGGAGGCCGACGCAGGCAGATCATTTGAGGTCAGGAGTTCAAGGCCAGCCTGACCAACATGGCAAAACCCTGTTTCTACTAAAAATACAAAAAATTAGCTGAGAGTGGTGTCACGCACCTGTAATACCAGCTACTCAGGAGGCTGAGCCAGGAGAATCACTTGAACCAGGGAGGTGAAGGTTGCAGTGAGCCAAGATTGTGCCATTGCACTCCAGCCTGGGCTACAGAGCAAAAGTCCATCTCAATAATAATAATAAAATAAAGTTAGTGATTTGTGCTAAGCCAATTTCTCTTTCGGGGAAAAATATCACATTAGAAAACTAAATAAATATTATGATTAAAAGGTATGAAATAGAATTTTAGAAAAAGACATGAAGTCAAGGGTAAATTGCCAATTGATAACAATATTTTTAAATATTTTGTGGAGGGAAGTTCTATGTCATAAAGACTTAGAAAAAACAGAGAAGGAAAACAAGCCTATCGCCTATATCTATCTAAATCTCTAGCCATATCTCTATCATCCATCTACCTATCTATATTTATATACCTATGGCAGATAGTATGTCTAGATTAAATATATAGATAGATAAAAATATTCATTTGAAGTCATTCTATACTAAACATCACTTGATAGTTTTGGTTACAAAGTAGAAATACAGAAATGGAAGTCTTTTATTGTATTATGCCATGGAAGGTGGATGACTCATAGCGCAAGTGCGGTCTGTGTCTGAAAGAGGGAGCAGTGAAATCACAGATAGCATCATTTCTCACTTTTTGCTTCTGATATTTCTCAAGAGCCAGAGAATAGTAGGGAACTGGGAAAGGAGAGTATCAGCATTCAGATGAACAGATCTTTGGAGTGAGCGGTTGTCTCCTACACTGCAGCTTTAGAAGCACTGAGCAGAACACCCAGCCACCAACGCCCACCTGTATTTTCTAAGTCCTTTCCTTTAACCTAAGAATTAAATACTTTTAAACATTCAATCATTATCAGGATCATATCCTTGTTGCTAGAAGCTTTTCGTTCTTCTTCTTTTCCTTTTTTAAATAGAGACAGGGTTTCACCATGTTGGCAAGGCTGGTCTCACACTCGTGACTTCAGGTGATTGACCTCCCAAAGTGCTGGGATTACAGGTGTGAGCCACTGTGCCCTGTCGCTTTTCATTCTTCTAAAATGTGTTCATTGTTTAATGAAAAATGGGTTCATGTTCTTGACTTTGATTGCTAAATCAGAAACATAAAAAGTAAGACGTGTTGACCAGGTGCAGTGGCTCACGCCTGCAATCCCAGCACTTTGTAAGGCCAAGGCAGGAGGATCACTTGATGTCAGGAGTTCGAGACCAGCCTGGTCAACATAGTGAAACTCCATCTCTACTAAAAATACTCAACTTAGCCGGGCAATGTGGCAGGCACCTGTAATCCTAGCTACTCAGAAGGCTGAGGCAGAAGAATCTCTTGAACTCAGGAGGCAGAGTTTGCAGTGAGCCGAGATCACACCACTGCACTCCAGTCTGGCAACAGAGTGAGACTCCATCTTAAATTAAATAAATAAATAAATAGAAAAAGTAGGAAGTGTTTGTCAAAAGAGCCATGTTAAAATTTCACATAGCTTTAATAACTTTAAATTCTTCTTGATATGAAAAGACAAGTATTATTACTTAGATTTTATTAAGTGATATTCATGATACATTTTATTAAATGTCACATTCATGAGTTTCTCATTAAACTTCACTTGAAGTTACTTAAATTTAATAAATACTACTTAAATAACCGTCAAAGTCTGTGGGGGTCCAGTTACATTTCGACATTGGTGTTGTCCTGCATGTTGGATCTCTTATGTTGTTCTACATTATCCAGAAAATTCAAGGAACAGGAGAGGCAGATGGCCAATAAACATATGTAAACATGTTCATCCTTTCTAGTAATCAGGGAAATTCACATTAGAATAAAAAGAGAGGCCATTTTATACTCATCATATTGGCAAACATTTTAAAGTCAAATTTGAATTTGTAGGAAAACTGACACTTTTATGCATTACCAGAGGAGGTTAAATTAGTAGAACCACTTTGGAGAGCAATTTAGTCCATATAATAAAGTGAACGATGCATACTCCCTACAATCCAGCAATTCCACTCCCCTTCAGTTAAAAACCTGGCTGCACATTAGATTCATTATCCCAGTGGGTTATCAACCCATTGCCCTATTAAGAAAATCTTTTTGTTTCTTTTGAGGCAGGGTCTTGTGCTGTTGCCCAGACTGGAATACAGTGGAACGATCAAGACCCACTGCAGTGTTGACTTCCTGAGCTCAAGTGATCTTTCCACTTCAAGCTCCTGAAGAGCTAAGACTACAGGCACATGCCACTATGCCCAGTTAATTTTTAAATTTTTTGTAGAGATGAGATCTCGCTATGTTTCCCAGGCTGGCCTTGAATTCCTGGGCTCAAGTGATACTCCCATCTTGGCCTCTCAAAGTGCTGGGATTGCAGGTGCCACTGTGCCCAGCCCCATGAGAAATTCTTGCACATGTACGTAAGAAAACAAATTCAAAAATTTTTATAACATTGCTTATAACAAAAAAATGGAAATAACATAATGTCCATCAACAGAAGTATAGAGAAATACAATGTTGTATAGTTATTCAATGGAAAACTAATAAAACTGTAGACAACACTGGCACATGCAGCATGATTGAATCTCCCAAATACAGTTTTGGGAAGTAATAGACAAAGAACACATACAGCGGAATTCTACATAGCAATTAAAATGAATAAACTAAACCTGTAAATAAATCCTGTCCTAGTTTTCTACAGCTTCTATTAAAAAAGTTTCTAGGGGCCGGGTGCGGTGGCTCATGCCTGTAATCCCAGCAGGGGCGGGTGGATCACGAGGTCAAGAGATCGAGACCATCCTGGTAAACATGGTGAAACCCCGTCTCTACTAAAAATACAAAAAATTAGCTGAGCACGGTGGCGCGTGCCTGTAATCCCAGCTACTCAGGAGGTTGAGGCAGGAGAATTGCCTGAACCCAGGAGGCGGAGGTTGCAGTGAGCCGAGATAGCGCCATTGCACTCCAGCCTGGGTAACAAGAGCAAAACTCCGTCTCAAAAACAAAAACAAAAAAAAAAGGTTACTAGGCCAGGCACTGTGGCTCGTGCCCATAAGTAATCCCAGCACTTTGGGAGGCCAAGGAGGGTGGATCACCTGAGGTCAGGAGTTCGAGACCAGCCTGGCCAACATGGCAAAACCCCATCTCTACTAAAAATACAATAATTAGCTGGGCGTGCTGGTGGGTGCCTATAATCCCAGCTATTTGGGAGGCGAAGGCAGGAGAATCGCTTGAACCTGGGAGGTGGCGGTTGCAGTGAGCCAAGATGATGACATTGCACTCCAGCTTAGGCGACAGAGTGAGACTGTCTCAAAATAAGTAAACAAATGACAAAGATAAAGGGATAAGAATGTATCAACCTAACTTGCTCTTGCCTTAGAGAATAAAGAAACAGGAAAAGTAAGTCAAATCTACTCCATTGCATTTCTTTCTCTTTTTAAATCAAGTCTAACTTCATGTATTCCCCTTTTGCTTTTTTTAAATTTTCTTCATTTGTATTCAAAGATAAATACAGGTCATATATAGGTAAGTACGTTTGTAACATATATTTAAATTATAATGCATAAAACTATAATTATCATCTGCAAACCAATCGCCCCATGAATAATTTTCGCACAGGGAAGGCAAAACTTTATTTTCATCCTCTTACTGTTTCTGGCTGGACCTTAGAATTGAATTGACATAGATATACAGGAGAAATGCATACGGATTTTTACACGTACTTGGGAATCCCCATAGAAAAATAAAAACCCAAAGGAGTAGCAAAACCTAAGTGCTTACTTTCTTGATTGAGCAAAGAGAGACAATTGTGGAAAAGTACCTACCATATGTGAGAAGACCAAAGGAAGATGATGATTGCTTTAACATCATGTTTGTATAGATTTCTCTTGGCCTAGACTCCCCATCTCTTGGTGATGTTTCCTTCCTCCTGATGTAGGGAGAGCATCTTTCGTATGAGATTTTTATCTCCTTTCAGAAAAAAAATGGGAGGGAGGTGAGAGTGTCCACCTGCTTTTCCCAAGAGCCTCTACCTCAAGGAAATCCATAGGCCAGAGTAGCATATTTTGGGAAAGCATAGACTGCATCTGCCAATATGTTTCTCCTTTTTCTGATACTTGCTTCCCCTTTTCAGAAGTAAGCACTATTCTAAATTTTATCATTTTGCTGTCTTTAAAAAAATTTTTTAGGCTAGGCAAGGTGGCTCATGCTTATAATCCCAGCACTTTGGGAAGCCAGTGTGGGTGGATCACCTGAGGTCAGGAGTTCGAGACCAACCTGATCAACATGGCGAAACCCCGTCTCTACTAAATACAAAAAATTAGCCAGGTATGGTGGCAGGTGCCTTTAATCCCAGCTTCTTGGAAGGCTGAGACAAAAGAATCTCTTCAACCCACAAGGCGGAGGTTTCAGTGAGCCAAGATTGCATGATTGCATTCCAGCCTGGGAAACAAAAGAGGAACTCTGTCTCAAAAAAAATGTTTTTCAACATATGTATGCCTAACCACATATTGTTGATTTTACATTTTTGGAGCTTTCTTTTTTTGTGTGGGGTTTTTTTTTGGAGACCGAGTATTGCTCTGCTGTCCAGATGGACAATCTCAACTCACTGCAACCTCCACCTCCAGGATTCCAGCGATTCTCCTGCCTCAGCCTCCCAAGTAGCTGGGATGATAGGTATGCACCACCATACTTGCTAATTTTTTGTATTTTATCATGGATTTTGTATTTTATGATAGATCTGCCCACCTTGGCCTCCCAAAGTGCTAGAATTACAAGTGTGAGCCACCACGACTGGCCATATTTTTGAGCTTTCTAAGGATGGTTTCAGGGAATACTATGAAGGTCAGAGAAGGTCAGGTTGTAGTCTTTTGTAACTTCTGGGGTTGGTTTCTTTTCTTTTCTTTTTTTTTGGTTGGTAAGTTGGTTGTCTTTTTGTTTGTTTATTCTCAACATCATGTTTCCAAGATTCATCTTGTTGAGTTACCATATCATTGAATATAGTTTGTTTAACTTTTCTTTTTTTATTGCATTTTAGGTTTGGGGGTACATGTGAAGAACATGCAAGATAGTTCCATAGGTACACAAGTGGCAGTGTGATTTGCTGCCTTCCTCCCCTTCACCTATATCTGGCGTTTCTCCCCATGCTATCTCTCCCCAACTCTCCACGCCTGGCTGTCTCTCCCCTAATTGCCCCAACAGACCCCAGTGTGTAGTACTCCCCTCCCTGTGTCCATGTGTTCTCATTGTTCAACACCCGCCTATGAGTAAGAACATGGAGTATTTCATTTTCTGTTCTTGTGTCAGTTTGCTGAGAATGATGTTCTCCAGGTTCATCCATGTCCCTGCAAAGGACACGAACTCATCGTTTTTGATTGCTGCATAATATCCCTTGGTGTATATGTGCCACATTTTCCCTGTCCAGTCTATCATCAATGGCATTTAAGTTGATTCCAAGTCTTTCCTATTGTAAAGTGCTGCAATGAACATTCGTGTGCATGTGTCCTTATAGTAAAACGATTTATAATCCTTTGGATATACACTCAGTAATGGGAATGCTGGGTCAAATGGAATTTCTATTTCTAGGTCCTTGAGGAACTGCCACACTGTCTTCCACAATGGTTGAACTAATTTTCACCCCACCAGCAGTGTAAAAGTGTTCCTATTTTTCCACATCCTCTCCAGCATCTGTTGTCTCCAGATTTTTTAATGATCGCCATTCTAATTGGTGTGAGATGGTATCTCAATGTAGTTTTGATTTGCGTCTCTCTAATGACCAGTGATGATGAGCATTTTTTCATATGTTTGTTGGCCTCGTGTATGTCCTCTTTTGTAAAGTGTCTGTTCATATATTTTGCCCACTTTTGAATGGGCTTGTTTGTTTTTTCTTCTAAATCTGTTTTAGTTCTTTGTAAATTCTGGATATCAGCCCTTTGTCAGATGGGTAAACTGCAAAATTTTTTTCCCATTCTGTTGGTTACCAATTCACTCTAATGACTGTTTCTTTTGCTGTGCAGAAGCTGTGGAGTTTGATTAGGTCCCATTTGTCTATTTTGGCTTTTGTTGCCAATGCTTTTGGTGTTTTGGTCATGAAGTCCTTGCCTACTCCTATGTCCTGAATGGTTCTGCCTAGATTTTCTTCTAGGGTTTTTATAGTGTTAGGTCTTATGTTTAAGTCTTTAATCCATCTGGAGTTAATTTTAGTGTAAGTTGTCAGGAAGGGGTCCAGTTTCTGCTTTCTGCACATAGCAAGCCAGCTTTCCCAACACCATTTATTAAACAGGGAATCCTTTCCCCATTGCTTGTTTTTGTCAGGTTTATCCAAGATTGTATGGTTGTAGATATGTTGTGTTGCCTCCGATGCCTCTGTTCTGTTCCATTGGTCTATATCTCTGTTTTGGTGCCAGTACCATGCTGTTTAGATTACTGTAGCCTTACAGTATAGTTTGAAGTCTGGTAGTGTGATGCCTCCCGCTGTGTTCTTTTTACTTAGAATTGGCTTGGCTATGTGGGCTCTCTTTTGGTTCAATATGAAGTTTAAGGTGGTTTTTTC